ACAGATATTTCCGCTAAACCAAACGCAACATAAAATACCATTAAAAGAAAGTCGAGTGATAAAAAAACTTAATTTTTATTTTACTTCGAAAGCTTTTCTTTGAACCCGCCTTTATACAGAGAAGCAGGTAAAAAGATTTTATAGGAGTTTTATTTCCAAACATTACTGACTGATACATTTTATGTACATTTTCTTTATTTCCGTATAAATCGTCCATTTCAAAGAAAAGGAAGGAAAAGAAAGCTATTCGAAGTAAAAGCTTGTTATGTGCTGTCAGTTATCTTTATTTATAACTTCATAGCTTAATTTAAAGCATTTGTGGGCATGGCGGTCGATTCATAGCTTTTACTTTATTTCCATACCTGAAAGATATTTTTCAAGAAAATCATTAGATTATAGCTGTTACGTATAAATGATATTTCAACGTCAAATATTCCAAACAGTAATGGTGAAAGCTTGAAATTAGGATTATGTATAAAAAATCATTTAAAAAAATTTTCATTTTGCATCATACAATGTGCTTTTAACGGTATTAAAGAACAAACTCTGGAACAAGGCTATTAAAATCTTAAAAAGTTTTAAATTAAGAATGGGCGAAAAGAAACATATTAATAAAACGATAAAAAATACATACGCTGCGACTCAAATAATAGAGTACAAATGTCGGCAATTAGGACTCGTCGAGACTTCGACATTTCCGGATTTGGGATTTTACCCGATATTAGATCATCACTTTAAATCTAGTATGATGGCATGTAGAAAAGAAATTACTGTTACATTTCTCCTAGATAACGCATTCAACACTTCGCAGTTCAGTTAGCTGGTATTCAATTACAAATATTTGAAAAACATCTTTAGACATAGCTGAGTCATTTTCAAAGCCATTGTGTGCTGATAGTCATTATTCGGTTTTGGTTTATTTAATTACACAAAGCTCTCGAGGGCTCTCTGCCAAATGGAAAGGATGCCTTCGTTGAGGACTTTCTAAGAGAAACTGGCTCGTCGGCAAATGATGTACTTCATGTAGAAGACGGTTATAGAGACTAATTACTGATCATATAGATTTATCTAATAAGCGATTGTTTGCTCATTATGGAGGTATTCTCTAAAAGTTTTTTTTTTTTTTTTAAATGAAAAAACAACAAATGCGCGCTTGCGTAAAACAGGATCTAGATTTTTGGATTTTAGATCATTTTGGATATTGGACGTCCAGATTTCGAACTTTGTACTACATAGTTTATTATTTATGCTAAATTATAAAAATAAAACTAATATTGTATTTTTTATCCAATCAAAATTGATATGATCTTTTTTTTTTTTTTTTTTTTTTTTTTTTCGTTCAGAGTCAAAAGAGACGTTCAGGGAGAGTATTGTTCAGATCTTACTAAGAGACTCTGGTGAGAGATTTAAATTTTTGTTTCAATGGAATTTTTGTTTTTAGTAAATTAATGCAATTTAAACACCCTCGAGATCAGAATTTGTTTTAGCAAATACAGAAGTTTAAATAAGTTAGCAGCTCATTTAGTGAGAGAATAATAAATTTAGTTCATAAATTTGCCAAAGAATGCACGCGAACAGTAAACAGGAATATTGAAACATTAGTCACAAAAATCTGATCTAAGAAGACATAATTTATAAGCCACTTACTTATATTTAAACCTACATTTTGTTTTGAAAAGCAGTTGTATGTTAGCGAGTGATGCCAACTGAAGAAATATAAGATACAAAAGTGTTCTAAATGAGCTTTCAAGAAATTTGGCAAGAAATGCAATCTTTGATTCAATCCTTAAAAAATGCCTTTTGTGAACTAAAAACTGTAGAGCTGAGATACATCTCAGGATACAAAATTGTTTCTCTAATAAATGAGTCTCTAACAAAAGTTTCCAATTTTGGCGACAAAATTGCTAAAGTAAACAAACCTGTATGAGAGTGTGCTCATATTTTAAAAGCAGGTTTCGATTCTAAGCAGCATTGCCTGCTTTATAAATTAAAATTTAATTTCACGTGAAATTAAATCTTTAACTTCAATTTTAATAGTTTTATATTTAAGCATCTTATAATTTACTTATTTATTTTCAGCTAATAAAAATGCAAAACATGGTGTTACGAATTTTGTATATATGTAAATAATTTTTTTAAAAGTATATGTAAAATTTTAGTATCTCTTGCATAATGTGACATGAAATGCCTCAAACAAAGCTCCGCCAGAAAAATAATGTTGCAAGTGGTGTCAGAAAGCATTGAGGTAAATGGCTATCTCGTCAAAAGCGCCGAGCTTGCGATTGTTCTGAAGACTAATTTTTGTCGCCAGATTTTACGAGAAACCGCCAAAAGTCGCCAAACTTCTCGACCATTTGACGACACTTCGGTCCGATCCCTGTATAACTGTAATTAGTCTGATCCCTATATGTAACTGCATCCGGCCGTATATGTCTGTATAACTAATATGCATTGCAGCAATTTCGAGAAATCGAGGGTATTGGAAACTCTCGGCGGCCGGAAGAAAAGTATGTAAGATCAGAGTGAGTATCAGTTCTCAGATTAGTTCCAAGTTGAATTCAGAGTTTAGCTCAGAGTACTGAGAGCTAATTGGGCGAGCTTCACATTTGAGGCCTTTTTATATCGTTTTGTGTTTAATGTTCCTAGTAGTTAAATTGGTAATTACTTTTTTAAAAAATCTAATAGCGTGCGTTTGCCCATTTGACATTGGCCACTCCTAAGGCCAGGAGTAGTTGCCATTTTATTGTGGAGACACCTAATAAACACCTCCTATGGAGAGACGGACAGTTGAAACTATGCCTTCTCCAGGATTCATACCCGGGCCCTTTGGTACTGCAGTCGACCTTCCTAACCACTTCGGCTTCCCTAACCACTATACCGTCTGATAATTACTGATTGTACTCTGTAACAATGACAAGAGCTGTACGAGTACAAATGTGAAAAGTTCCAGAACGTTTCGCGAATTGGAAAATAAATTTAATCAAGCTGTCATAGGTTTCCTGTGCATTCAATCCATTACGAACCTGTACGTTCATAATAATAGGTTTGTACCAAAAATTGGATGAAAATGTTGTAATATTTGGAATGGCATGGAGTATTCTAAAATCTATACTGTAAATAAATGTACTGACACGATTTTTATTATCGTTGTTTATTACATAATATATTTTGCATTTTACTATCACTATTTTATTCTTAGTTCTATTATGTTTCATCTGAGGGCATCAAATTTCACCGATTTTTATTAAAAAGTGTAGAATTTGGGGCGTTTTTAACCTTACTTTCACCAAATGCTTTTGAGAACTGCTGTCTTTGTGAATCTGGGATGTCATGAAAGATTCATTCAAGTATTATTATTCGAAGAGAAATGGGAAAGTAATGGATTCGTGACAAAGTGTTCTTGTGTTTCTTTTTCTCCTTCATTTGCAGAATTTAAGACTAATTTTTGTAGCAAAAGGGCTTCAACTCATTGAGTGGAGTACGTTATTGACTTGACGAAAGACGTTTTGAAATACGCTGTTACCTTTCTGAAACTCTTAATTCATCTGATTTCCTTTTGCTAGCAGAAAGATTGGAGAGGTGTCAAGTAGTTTCCAGTTCCCTTCTACTTGACTTAAGATGTTCTACGATTATCCTTTCCTGTCTTCATTTTTCATGGATATGCAGAATCTGATTGATTTAATTTACATTGAAATTTTTATAATCTTTAGTTGTTATTCTTTCATATATTCAAGATGTGAAAATTTGTATCAAGTTTTGGAATTATTTATCGAATAATTCTAATTGTTTGTCTTAGCATCAGCTGTTTCAAAGATTACATAATCAGTTAAATTTACAAAAAAATATTCGTCATGTTTTTACAATAGTTTTTTCCTCGATATACGTAAGTAATAATATACGTATTAAATAATAACGCAGCGATATTATTTTCCCCCACATGATGTTTTCTTTTGTACAGAAAAGCTATCATCATTAGTGTTTTTCACCAAAATGACGCATAATAAGTTTAGTCTTGGCTTACAGTTCCACAAGTCTCACGCAGATTCTGTAATTTGCCTACAACCATGCTTCCGCCTTTTTTTTAACGAGAATCCACATTTAGTGTTACTTTTTGAGCTTTCATATCTGCCATTATTATTATGTGTCTTGTCCAAGCTTTGGGCCCACAAACCGCCGAGTGTAATATCTGCTGAACACTGGCAATTCGACTAGATTCCAAATCCCTGCGTAACGGCTCGCTGTATGGGAGATTTCATGGTTTTATCAATGTGTAAATTGAGTAGAAGCTCCTACACTAAAGCATCCCTTAATTTAGCTGTCTGATGTTTTGCCATCCTATAGATAGCCTAATCCAGCTCAATTTCAATTTTCAATTTTCAGTATGTAAGAAATGCTTTCGTTCCTTACCATAAGCTTTAAGATGCAATTGGAAGCACGTCCGGCTACCAGTTGGAAGACCCGAAGTACAAATCTCAAGGAGAGCATCGCTTATTTTTCCTGTTGCCCGCTCTGAGAAAACATGATGATTCTTTAACTATAATTTTTATGTTTGCAGTTTTATGTATGTATCTCAGTGCTGAAAATATAATGCGGGAAAATTTTTTTCAGAACTGCGTGGGAATATTTTGTGTGGGAAGCTTATATTTATAAAAAGTGACACCCCCTCCCCCAAAAATATTTCATCTTTAGGAGAACTGTACATTTATGATGATGATGTTACGATGCTTCTAATTTTATAATAACTGAAATAATTATTTTAACTTACTGAGGAAGTAAATCTAACAGAAATTTGCATTACATCTCAGCAGTCTTCAAAAATTCCATCGCAAAAATGAAGGCAATTCTGTAAACAACATTTTAGGTTCTTTTCTATTGAATAATATAGATTTTATTTAAATTTGATTTATAGTTGAAGAAAACGTTCACAGCTGAAAAGAATTTTAACGTTGATGAGAGCACACTATTACTAATATATCTCATTATATTTCTTTCTTAAACAGCTCAGAAGATCTTCCATAACTACGCTGAAGTCATATCTAGTCACTGATGGTAAGAAAATTTCATACACCTTGCTTAATGCATCATGAATTTGTAACTAAGCAAAATGAATAATTTATACTGTACTCCTCTAGGTGTTTGCGCAGGATCGCCTGAAAGAACGTTGAATGTCAGAGAAACTTGACCTTTATTGAAGCTCCGTTCTATTAAATAAAATCAACTTTCACCTAAGAATCACCAAAGATACTATCGGATTTTTTTAAAAAATCTATGAACATTTTAGGAATACGAATTTTATGCACACATCAGAAATACCAAAATTAAAAACGCTTAAAAACACGCATGAAAACGGTTATAGTTTGAAAATTGTGAGAACATTGTGGCTACATCGATTCTTGTATCGTTATCACGCGCGAGCACGTGCGTCGAAAGGTATAAATACTGGAAGGACTGGTTTGTCTCTCTCTTTTTCCTTTTTCCCCTCTTGCTGCCTGACGTCGAGCTTAGCGAGTGTGTGGGCCTTCGGGCCACACACACTCAGCAGTCGCCATTTGTTCCTGTCTAATTTTGCCGAGAAAGAAGCAGAATGAAGAAATCCAGTACTTAAAGTAGATGTTTGATTTGTGAATAACATAAAATAAACGCGCAAGCAGAATATAAGTAACTGTTCGACTTCAAGATGTGATTGACCAGCAATGTGTCACCACGTGCGACGTGTGTAAAAATCATATGAATGTAAAAGGAAAAAAGAAGAGCTTATAAGTGTGTAACCAGACAGCGCGATAATACGAAGATAAAATTAACCACGTTTCAACCGCAAAATTATTCGATGGGACAGGATTGCGCGAATAGTCACGCTTCGGCATTCCACGGACATTCCATTTGAGTTATCGCATTGCGTGTATCTAAGTTATGATATTTTAGTGTTTATATGTGTGTGATAAATGTGTCTTATTTAATCCAGAAAGTATGTGTATTAAAATAAATATGAGATTGGAAAAAGAAAATATTCGGCTCATGCATGCATCAGTGGGTAAGTCTTGTTAATCTATTTAGTAATGATTATGCAATGTACTAAACACCAAATTTTAGTTTAAGTATTTACGCAAAATTAATTTGTACTTGATATTCTTAGTATCGACAATTTTGGTGATCACGCCCGTAACACCACAAAAATCAAAGTAATAGTGAAATAGCAAACTCTTTCATAGATATGAACTTCAACACTAACTGAAGTTTTTTGATTTAGTGCCAATGCATTCTGAACTTAACTTAGCAGCACGGTTGATCTGAGCGCTGATTTCTAGAATTTTACAGTAATTCTGTTCATATGTGTCACAAAAATATCATATTGAAAGTTTGAAAAAGGAAAAATTGCTTAGGTGATATTTCAGAATTTTCTAACTGGTAATATTTCGAATAATAACGCTTCCTTAACATCAAATATGACTACTAGAAATCCGGTACCTTCCTCTCTATCAAAATCATAAGATATTATGGTACTATTCCGTTTTTAGGATCGTAAAAATTCGCCAAACTAATTGTTGATGCCAGTGCTGCCAAAAATAATTTCAGCAAACTTAACGCAAGAAAGGAAGTATAATAATAAATAACTATTTAAAGATTACTGTTTTAATTTAGATGAAAGGTTAATTTCATATAATACGTTTTTTTATTATAATTTATATAAAAAGGCTAAACATAACTGAATGGAAGCATAAAAGTAAATAACTATTTCAAATCATTATAATAATTTTTATAAGAAAAGGCTAAACATAACTAAATGGATTTCTACATCGCTATTTCGCTACCTAAAAAGCATAATTTCATCTCATTGGTTGAATCCCGCGAACGGGCTGGCTGCATGGGCGTATTAAAGGTTTTCCAAATGTGTAACGTATATACGAGCCAGTTTTTCCTTAGAAAGTCCTCCACGAAATCATCCCTCTCCTTAGGCATATAGCCCTCGAGGCTTTGCCATAATCACAGACACAACAGCACAACAATAACATCTCATTGGTTGTTCAAATATAATTTTCTATAATGAATGATGCCTTTTCTTTGAAAAAATTCTATTCCTGACTTTTAGTCATGAAATTGTTAAATCCATAGAATATCAAAAATGTATTTAAAATCAAAAAAGGATTTAAAAATTAAACTAGTATTTCAATGGCGTCTTAAGAAATATAGAACTATCTAAACTTACGCAATTGGAAATCAGTGCGTGCGTTATATTTGGCGCGCTGTTAAATGGGCGTATTTGCCTAGATTAGTGCTTTTGCGCATACATTTCCGCTGCAATTTGTTTACGGTTATCAAAACGGAATAATAGCGATATCATTAGCTACATATATGAAATATGTGGAATTGAAACTTTAAAAATAAACTACGTTAATGAAAAACAAATATATACAAATTTTAACACTATAAAGTAGAAAACAAATACAGTTAAAAGTCTTTAATCCAGACGTCCATAATCCGGAATGATCGATAATCCGGACCTCAAAGCTATAAACTTTCTGCTCATGCGCATATGCGTTTAATGTATAACGGACGGTATAAGCTAAGCTAAAATTATTTAATTATCTATTTAGTTAATGTTGCAGATTGCGTTGTTCCTTAATCTTCTAATTGGATCTGGCTTATTTTTTGCAGACTGTTAGAGCAATTTTATAAAAGTAAGCTTGAACTTTCGATTATGTCAAAAAGAATTTCCGATTCTGGAGCTGCCAAAGGATCTACAAAGCGGAAGCATGTTTCGATGTCCATCAAACAAACAGTGGAATTGCTGCAAAAAATGGATAAAGGCATATCCTTTGTTTCTCTAACCATTCCAAAATCTGTTTATCCATTTCGCGCTGCTCTGCGGGGGAGGGAAACATCACGGCGCGCAATGAACTGGAAATTGATCTGCCAGCACTATCCTTATCTTCAGAGCAGATGTTTTTATTTTATTCAGCGTATAATTCCTTACTAAATGTAGTATTTCATCTCGATGTACTCCGTCTTTGATATGATTTAAATCAAATTACTCGTCATTATATATATCACGAATACACATCGAATACTTTTCTGATTGCAATTTTCTAATTTTGACTATGCGTAATGTATGCTTTACGCATGCGCGCGTTGAAAGAAATGTTTAATAAAGTAAACAAATAAATATTAAGCTTTTTTTTATAAATTTTTATACCCTTTAGATCATAATTGCTCTTTATTTCATAAATTAGAGTTTCATATTTTTAATTTTATAATTTCTGTATGCCATCTTACCAGATTGAAACTGATGATCTATAAGCCGGAAAAATCGATAATCCGGAATAGCCGAAGTCCCGACAATTCCGGATTAAAGACTTTTGACTGTATATACAAATATGCAGAAGCTCCAAAGCAACGTAGAAATATTTACACTAATCCTGTACACAATAAATATTAATTTCACATTTATAAAATTATAAACTAGTGAATGTGAGCATAATTTATAATAATCTACTTTTGTCTGTTCTTTAATGTACTTCTGTGCATAAGGTTTCTTTTTGAAAGGGGATACTTAAGGTAAAAATTCATTTTTATTTTGTAATAAATGATAGTTTCTTTTAATTAGGTAATTCCTATTTCCGGCCCTAAAATTGTAATATACTTATAATTAATAATTTTATATAGTGTGTAATTTATGAAGTTTTTTTCATTTGCCAAATTTTTTATAATCCAAAGTCTCTAAAGAAAAAACTTTCGATGTCAATTAAATGGCTTTACTGATGTACGTACTTATATAATTACTTAAATTAGAAGTGAAATTCTTTATTCAACCATTATTTAAGCGTAAAAATTTGGAAACAAATTCTAAAAGTAATACTATAACGCTTAGTAAGAAGTAACTTGCCATTTAAATTTAGATGGCCCCTTCTGGGTGAAGCATGAGAAGGTTGTTTCAAAATAAAAATAACTATTAAAACAAACCCTATAAGATAACCCGCTTTCCAAGTAACAACTCTGATTTTTAAGAATATTTATTTAATATCCGGAAAAAGCTATGCCAGAAAATATAGTTAGTATAGAATGCAAAATTATCCTTGAAATTTGCTTTCTGCTTAACACTGCATGTATATTGTATCACAGATTAATGGTTTCCCTCCTATCGATCATGTGCCATTTTTGGAGCTGTTTTCAGTTTCCTGTCTCACAGTTCGACGTTTATTTATTTAGGAAGAAGTGACCGGAGATTGGATGTTTACATCATCCGTTTGATTTATTGCCTAGAAATATTTTAGTATGCAGATATCGGGAATTTTCCACGCTGGCTTGTGTTCCCTGGAGGCTATTCTGATTGGCTTGCGAACCTCATCTAATAAAAAACAGGGTATTTTAAGGATCTATGATTTTCCCTCAGAGACAGAAATTGCTTTTCAGCTTTATGATATAAGCAAGTAAACAACATTTCGAAAAATGTTTTCATAATCTGAATTGATGTATATAATTACTCAATAAATCTCTCATCTTTTTCTCAAGGTTTCAGCAAATTTAAGAATTGTCTTTGACGTATAAACCGTCTGAGCATTACGGGTTTAGCCCTTAAATGTCAAAGTTCCTCAAAATTCGTGTATAAATGGTATTTTCTTGATTATAATTAAAAAACGACTATCTTACTTTGTACCCTGATATACATCAATATTTCAGATCTTCCAATATACATCAAATCTGAAATTGAAGATATTTAAAGCTGGCTGAAATTTTATATGTATTGAATATGAAAGCCACCCTTCTATATCGAAATTTCCTTCCGTAACGTGCTTTAAATTAAATTGCTGCGACAATTATGTAATTAGTTATGTATTTAAATTGTTAATGTAACATTCTCCAACAGAAATAGAATTAGTGACAGTAATACTTGCTAAGACTGGTTTTCGGCCAGTATCAAAACAAAAATCTTAGTGACATGTTTTATGTTTTGCAGCAGTTTCATCGAATCGCCATGATGCATGGTTGTTCTTGTGATTTTAATCATGTTCAAATTCACAGAAAAGTTTCGCTTAGAAAGTTCTTCACGAAAG